TCTATAGGATTAATCGATTTTTTTTTTATCTACTGATGAATTTGAATCCAACAAAAGTGAGAGAAATTCAGATTGAAAAAGGAAATAAAACAAATTAAAGGAAAGTGGAAAAGGAAAAAAAGTTTCAGTAGAAGAAGCAAGCGGAGAAAATGTGCGAACGAGAGACAAAAAAGTGAAGGAGCTTTCTCTTAGCAAACGGGCTTGTTTGGGCCCATAGGCCCAATAAAGATAATAGTTTGGAAGCAAATTCAGGTTTACTAACGTGGTCTTGTTCTTGTAAGTTGTAACAGAGTCTTATACACAGAGAGTTAGTGCAAAATGTTGAAATAATTAAAAGTTCGAAATTCTATATGAGAAAACTTCAAAGATATAATTTGGTATCTTTCGAAATTCTATATGAAATGGGCACGATAACCATTATGGACGACTCCTTATCTAGACCATTAAAGACAAATTAATGATGAGAATTTGAACGAAGACGTAATTTAGCAAAAAAAAAAAAAAACGAAGAACGTTCGAAAACGTAACTTACATTTTTTGTTGTTTTTACGAACAACAACCACACTATCTTACTATATATGATGGGAGCAATAACATATAAGACAATGACCTCCCTATTGTACAAACTAAAAATTACAAGAGCTAATTAAAAATTATTCCATGGAAACCCTTTTGGACAAATAAAAAACAATAGATACTCAAGAGATGATGACTTGGCAAGTTGAATGTCGGTTATCATTAGCATATAATGTGGAGGTTCAAAATCCTAATCTCGAGAGGGTTCAAAATCTTTTCCTTTTATATAGACGAGATTTGTGAATAAGTTAAGAACACTAATTTATGTTTAGAGCCTTTGTTGAAACAACGATGATGTGCGATCTTCCAGAAGATTTGGTGATGGAGATTCTCTCTAGGGTTCCGGCAACATCTCTAAGACGATTACGATCTACTTGCAAACGATGGAACAATTTATTCAAAGATTCGAAATTCATCAAAAAACAATATAGTAACTCAGCAGCAGCAAATCAGTCTATGGTCGTCATGTTGAAGGAAGTTGGGGTTTATTCAGTGAACATCAAACTTCAAGGAATTGCTGATGATCGATCTACCGAGGATGCAAGTAAACTTGTTACCTTAAAGGATTCCTATTATAATTCAGATCAATTCTATATAGATGATATCTTCTACTGCCATGGTTTACTATTATGCACCACTATAACCACGATACAAAAATTTGAAGACACCATCTTTGTGGTTGGGCTTGCGGTTTGGAACCCATGCTTAGGGCAGACCAGGTGGATCGAGCCGATAAATAGTTACAGTACATTCGACAGTTTTGCTCTAGGATACGATAGCGAGAACAATTTCAAAGTTTTGAGAATCGTTGATGGTGCAAGTCGTGAGGAAATCTATGATTATAAGCTTAATGCATGGAGATTTCTTGCTGAAGACGTCAACTCAGACGATTGGCATATATTGGAACGTGGCGTGTCTTTGAATGGAAATACTTACTGGCTTGGTTATGATCAATCAGAAGAAAATATACCCATGCTAATAAGTTTTGATTTTTCTACAGAGAAATTTCAACGTTTTTGCCTCCCTCCTTATCAGTTTTCTCCTCATGATACTAATGCGCGCGAGACTTCTATGGCTCTATCAGTCGTTAGAGAAGAACAACTTTTGTTTTTACATCAATGCTTTGGGACATTGAAGATGGAAATATGGGTAACGACTAATAATAAGATCGACCAAACCAAAAAAGTCTTGTCGTGGAGCAACTTCTTAACCGTGGATTTATACGCTCGTGATATTTGCTTTTCGAATCAGACAAGTTTCTTCATCGTGGACGAGGCGAAGAAAATCATTGTTTGTTGCGACGTAAAACGAAATCGTAGCTACTACACAACTCACAATATTGGAGAGGAAGAGAATGGAGTCATAGAAGTCGAATTTGGAGAGTATAGTTTTGTTTTACATCGGCCACTAATGTTCAATTATGTTCCAAGTTTGGTTCAAATAGAGAACAGAGTGAGTTAAACTTAGCTAGATGCAAAAGAAATACAATGTGATTACAATTTCCATCTCTGGTTTTTTTTGAATGAGTTGTTTGATAAAAGATGAAACCTTTTTATGAAAACAGAGCAAGAAATACATACTTGCAGATCTAGATGACCAAACTAAACTGATTCAACTCTGACAATCAATGAAGAAGTTTCACATTTCAAATTGAAGAAAATCACAATGGTGATGACGAAACCAAAAAAAAAACTTATAATTTTGAAGTAGACAAAGGAGCTTTGTCTCTGTTACTTTTAAACTCCAAGCTTGAATCTCAAACAAAGCAAGTAGACGATACTGTCAGATGCAACAACAGATTTCAATCTCCTTGTTGTTTCAACATATTTCCAGAAAGACTCACCCCAACACTTGTTGATCTCTGCTTCCATTTTCTTCCAGAAATCTTTAGGTTTATGCTTCAATCTCAGAGATCGTCGAAACATCATATCTTCGATCGCTTTCTCCACTCTTCTCACATGTTGAGCGCATCGATCAAGCTCAAGATTCATTGCATTCAACTCTTTTGATCTATCAAGACGACCATAAAGATTCATCGCTACTAACTGTAAACCACAGATTGTTTCAGCAAATCTCTCAAGCAAATCATCATTGATTCTCTGTTTTTCAGGAACTTGTTCATCGCTAAGAACAGAAGAAAATCAATAATGAACATCACTGCGGATTGTTCCTTGCAAGATCGCAGTAAGATCCATATCTTGAGCGCTAATTGTTTCTCTCTTTGGCTCGTATGAAGAGCCAGTAAGGAGACTTTTATCAGAGCACGAGTCAACTTGATCCCAAGAGAAACCACTCTGCTTTTACTCTCTCTAAGACTCCATTCTCTAGAAGAAGATCCGTTCTCAGATTTCCCGAACCGAGACACTGTTTCATGAAACGCAGTTTCCAAGATCCTCAACTCTGGATTCGTTGGTGCTCTCTCTTCTCTCCTTTCTACAGGTTCTCGAGAAAGATTCCATTTCTTTCCATCGTCATCAAAACCGGTGAAATATTCTATATTTCCTCCACGGAGATTCATGAGCTTCTTAACTTGTTCTGATGAGTCGAGAAGATTCTCCAGGTCTGGTTCTTGCATCTCTCTCCTCGACTTTTCGAGACTTAGCAGCGATTCGTAATAATTCTTTAAAATCTGACGTTTTACCAGTTTCTGATGAGCATCCTCCTTCGTTTCTTCTGCTTCGTCCTTCTCTGTTCTGTAATCATATCTTGTTTTCACCATTTTTGTTACTCTCTGTGTAGGAAAGAACAAGATGTAAATAAAAAACAC